CAAAGAAGAAGGGGCGCGACGGCGACGAGGAAGAGCCCGAGGGCTTGATCCCGAACAATTACATTGAAGAGGTATGCTGCGCCTCACCCCGATGACAGCCCAATCCGCGTCGCAAACCATGCCCAACGCTGCACCAGGCATTGTGTGGAATGCTGCAGCATAGAGACTGATGATATGTATAGGCCGCCCCAGTCGCACAAGCCAAAGCCCTCTTCGATTACGACCGCCAGACGGACGAGGAGCTCTCGTTCAAAGAGGACGCCGTCCTAGACGTTTACGATACCACCGACCCGGACTGGACACTGGTGGGAGTCGCAGACGACTATGGCTTTGCGCCCGCGAACTACATCGAGCTCACTGAAGAGGGAGCAGCGGCAGGAGCACCAGCTGCGCCATCTCCCGCGCTGCCTAGTCGCCCGCCCATGCCACCAGCGACCGACTCTTTCGACGACGATCAGCCGCCTACTCCAGACACGCCTCCACAACCGAGTCCCGCTGCGGCTCTGGCTGGCATCATACAGAAGAAGTCGCAAGAGGCAGCACCGCGATCGACTATTTCTCCTCCGCCCAACGTAAGCGCGCCTCCGCGACAGCAACGACGCGTGCAATTTACCCCGGAAGAGTCGGACGAAGAAGTGCCAGCACCCCGTCTTCCCCAGCGACCCGAGTCCGAAGTCTACTCACCGCCGCCTACCCAATACGCACACGCGCGATCCCCATCGCCCCCAGTCAGATCGCCACCGCCCCGAAGCGTCACGTTCGACCAATATGATCCTCCGAGCAGGGACGAGCAGCCCGCGACGCCCATGTCGGGGTCGGGATACCATCTGTACAACATCTACGAGTACATTACACAGCCGGGCAAGAATAAGAAAATGCCAATCACCCTGGGCGTCAACATCCCGAAAGGAATGATCATGATCGCACCCGAGAAGTCTCGCGACGGGCCGCAACAGGAATGGAGCGCTGACAAGATGGAGTACTACTCGCAAGAAGGCAAACACATATTCATGGAGCTGAAGCAGCCAAGCAAGAGCGTCGACTTTCACTGTGGTGCTAAAGACACCGCATCGGAGATCATGCTCGCCCTTGGTGAGCTTGCAGGAGCGGCTAAGAGCGCAGGACTTCGCGAAGTACTCGCTGCTGGCTCCGGAAACTCCAATGTGCAGAAGAAGGGAGTTATGCTTTTTGACTTCATGGCACAGGGTGATGACGAAGTTACCGTTGGTCTCGGCGACGAGATCTTAGTCCTCGACGATTCCGCAAGTGACGAGTGGTGGAAAGTCAGGCGGCTGAAAAATGGCAAAGAGGGTGTGGTACCAGCTAATTACGTTGAGGTCACAGAAACCGTCCCCATACACGCTCCCGCAGCTGCCATCGCTCGATCGGGAACCAACGCTGGCCGATCCGTCGTCGAACAGAATAGGCGGGAGGAGGAAGAGCTTGCTCGTCAGGCTGCGAGACGGAAGAAGCCAGAAAGTGAGGCAAGGAACGATCAGGTAGGCCCTGGCCTGCACTTGCCTTCGCGTAACTCTAGTCTTATGCAAACAAACGTTGACCATCGTCGTACTTCACAGAGATCAAGCAAGCGCGAAAGCTCCGCAAAGGACTCGAGTTCAAAGTCCGGCTCCAAACCAAGTCAGTATACAGCAATTTCACTACTTGAGTTTCTTGATCTGTCTACCGAAAAGGGTTCTGCGCCGTTCGTGGGCGCTGAACATCTACCTAGTGGGACAACAGAACACGCATTGTGTGCAAGGATGCTGACCAAATTTCTTAGATTCCGCCAAGGTACGCACTTGGACCGACCGATCCGGATCGTTCAAGGTCGAGGCAGAGTTCATCCTCATCAAGGATGGCAAGATCCACCTACACAAAGTCAATGGCGTCAAGATCGCTGTACCTGTCACAAAGATGTCAGTAGAAGACCTCGAGTACGTCGAACGCGTCACAGGCGAGTCTCTAGATGACGACAAACCCTTATCGGATCTGAAGAGGAGGAGCATGCAACAGCCTCGCGGGAAGGACTCAGGCCCAACCGGTATTTCCGTCGAGAAGAAGCCGGAATACGACTGGTTCGACTTCTTCCTCAAGTGTGGTGTTAACCCACAGATCTGCGAACGATACGCCAGGGCATTTACCAAGGACGAAATGACGGAAGAAAATATCCCAGACATCACTCCTGGGCTTCTACGTACATTGGGTCTCAAGGAAGGTGACATTCTCCGTGTGACCAAGCACTTGGACGCGCAGTTCGGAAGAGATAAGCGAAGTGTTAGCTTTGCTGAAGAGGGAGGAGAGGGAGCTTCTGGTGGACTGTTCTCAGGTCCAGGAGGTGCACTGAGAAATAACACCCGAAAGGGACGTCCTGCACCACCGGTTGAGACGAACGATGTCGTTGATCCAAAGGCGTTTGAACCGAAGTCCGATGACACCGTTCAGAAGCCCGCAGACGGGACGTCAGCAGCGACATCTGACAAGACAGCGAATGGATTTGACGACAATGCGTGGGATGTCAAGCCATCCAAGTCAACACCTGACAAGACAGCATCTCCACCCGCAGCACAAGCCCCTGCCGCTAAACCGCCCCAGCTGACTGGATCCATGAACGATCTGTCTCTCCTAGACATGCCTGCACTCAAGCCTGACGAGATCGCGCAGCCAACGCCTCCTGCTCCAGCACCTCAGCCAGCACAAGCACCTGCTCAACAGCCTCCAGCACCCGCTCAGCGACCGCAGCCAACAGGCGCTACTCCTACCCTTTTCGAGCAGGTTGCAGCTATCAAGGCCCTTACCCAACCTCACAACATGGCCCCACCGCGCATGCGCCCACAAGCTCCCCAGCAGCAGGGTCCTGGAGGTCTCATTGCTCCACCGCCGCAGCGTTCTTCCTCTGCCCCTCAGAACCCACAACAAAGTGCTTTCGGTCCCCCACCACCCCTACAACCTCAGCTCACAGGATACAACCCCAACCTCATGGGTCAAAACTCTGGACAGGGCCAAGGCATGCAGGGTATGCCACCAATGCAACAGCAAATGACAGGCTTCCCACAGCAAAATGGCGGTTTCGGATTCCAGCAGAACGGCATGATGCCGCAACCCACAGGCTACAACCCCATGTCCCCACCCCAGCAGCAGCCTATGCAGACTGGCTTCGCCCAATACCAACAACAGCAGCCGACCGGCTTCCAGCAGCCCATGCAGACAGGTTTCCAGCAGCAGCCACACTTCACACAAGGCTTCGGGAATGGCAGCCCTTTTGCCGACCCACCACGGGCACCTTTCCAGCCACTCCAGGCTCAGCCTACGGGGTACAACTCGTTCCAGCCATCGCCACTTAACCCCCAGGCGACTGGCGTCAATCGCTTCCTGCCCCCGGCCCTTGCGCCACAGCCGACTGGCTACATGTCGAACCAAAGCCCGCCGCCTGTCCCTCTCATGCCGCCAATGCCCCAGGCGCAGCCTTTGGTGCCCCAGAAGACTGGCCCACCACCGACCATCAAGTTTGGTGTACAGCCCGCAAAGAAGCTAACGCCCCAGCCGACGGGGAGGGCGAACCTTGCCAATGCCAGTAAGTGTTCGAAAAAGTATCTATGCAAAACCTTTCTAACCGTTGACCAGCACCCCAAAATCCGTTCGGCTTCTAATCTCGCTCGCGGTGGCTGTTCGTTCTTTCGCACCCCTTTGCTTACCTATGGGGCATCCACTTAATTACCCTGATACTGTATATGTATATAAGTTCTACCGTGCCTGTTTGTTGTTTGGCGGAGTGGGTTCGCAAGGCTCGATAGCATTCTTCATCAAGCCACATAGCATTTGCGTGCACGTAACACTCCGAATTACCAGCTTCGTTTTGCCCTCATTGCTAGCATCTTGCCCTCTACGGTCATCTCTTCAAATTGAGTGAATCTTTAGTTCAGATGTTGACGTGGTACTATCGGTCCGGCAATTGTGTGGTCTAGACTGCGGCTGACATGCGTGGCTGAGTTGCTCAGTGAGGATTGGCTGGGAGATGATGTCTCGAAAATACGTGAACTTTTGCACGTCAATCAACCTTGGAATACTTCTAACGAGGCATTGCGATAACAGACATTGCACACGTTACATGTGCAGGACGAATCACCCCTGTTCTCGAGCTGTCGTTCACCCTTGGCGCGAGGCAGATGCGAGACCAAGCCTTTGCCAAGTAAAGCTTAGCCTGACACATCAGGTGGCACGATATCCCTGCGATGCATGTGTGGCTGGCTAGCTAACAGGCCGATTCGATGTCGTATCCACGCAAAACCGCGCACGCGTCTGTGGCTCTGCTCGTCGAGTGATGCCAGACCTTGCACTCACCGTAAAGTACGTGGATAGACGTCGGCCAACTACATTATCATCGCAGCTTCGGCCATAACTCAGCCACGCCTTGACATCCCCCGATATCGCGTTGGCACTGTCAAAAAGCATGACAAGCATCTGTGGCGATGACGAAAGCCCATAGCATGTCTCGCGCCCCCGGCTTATTTGCGCCAATAGCCCGGCGCACAGCCGGGCAGCGAATGTGGCTCAGGCTAACTAGCCCAATAGACCGGCCGAGTGATGCGTTGCCCTGTCCGCGTGAGAAGGAGGGCGCGAACGAGCGCGCTGCAGATTAAAGGCGGCGCATCCCCTCCCCGGACTGTAAGAAGGGTCCACTGTATTTCCTCCAGCCGTATACTCAACCTACTCCTGACTTTACTTTGACCGTTGCGCAACGACTTTGAACGGTGACGCGGGTTTTTTGCAAGCGAGAAATTAAGATTCGGACGGCTTCTCGGCGAAAGCTTGGTTTGGGGATACGAGACTCGGTTGCGCGACTGCTGCTTGCCTGATTCACCGTTACCGGCTGCCTTTGTCTTACCTCCATCATCGACCAACGAACGAGCGATTATCGTGCGCACATCGAATTAAACACGAGCGCGACTTCTGATCCGCACTTCCCATTCTTACGTACATCTCAAAGGTCGTTTTAGATCAACATGTCGAACCAAGGCTACTACCAAGGCGGGCCTCAGCCTCAGTACCCACAGCAAAGGTACGCTTCCCACGACCGTCTACAAGCACGAGCGATATCGCGCAAAGCCGCGCGCACACCCAATCTCCCCTGCGATCGCAAAAGACACATACGTAGTGGTAGAGTGAACAAGTGCTAACTTCATCACAGCTACGGTCCCCCAGGCGGCGGCTACGGCCAACCCCAACAATACGGCGCTCCACCACCACAACAGCAGATGTACTACGGTCCCCCGCAAGGACAATACCAACAGGCACCACCACAACCAAAGCAGAAGAAGGATAGAGGATGCTTGGCGGCTTGGTAAGTTCGGCACGATATACTCGAGGGTTGAACTTTGGCTAACGGAAGACTAGTCTGGCGACACTGTGCTGTTGTTTTGTGTGCGAAGAGGGTTGCGAGTGCTGCGCTGATTGCTGCGAGTGTGCGGCGGAGTGCTGTTAGACGGATAAGGGGGGGTAGCTGTATGGGCTCGATAGGTCGGCACTGGCATCGAGTTGAAGGTGCGCATGGGGAATATGCGATTGGTTGTGACGGTATGGGCATGAACTCTTGTCGTTTTCCTTTTGTTTTTGAGTATACCTGACCACTTCTGGTCTTTCTTATCGTATTCAATCTACGGCTTGTGTGGTCTGTAGAGGCAGGTCCAATTCGAGCCCGTTGTTTATGTATGATGGCCGAAGTTGGTCGTGTCCATGTCTTTTGATGGAATTACTCTGCATGAAGAGAGATAAGCCCAGGGTTTTGTTAGCTGCATCTCGTTCGTAGTCATCGGGAGCTCCAGATCTCATCGCTGGTCGAGGTTCGGTGAATCATGTGCGACAGCGCAAGCACCTTCGTGTTGAAGATTCTAATTTCTTGTAGCCACCTCCACCCTCCTCAAAGCCCTGATATCATGTTCTACCCTCTTTCTCGCCACTCGACAACCTTTCTCCCGATCTATAGCCAGAGACTTACTCTGCGCAAAGGTTTGCGCCCTCCACAAAAAAACACAAGATCGGATCGTATTAGATTGGGTGAACGCCCAAATAAAACAAACAAACGCTGGAAGAAACGCTGAAGAAAATGCTGCAACAAGTGCTGATAAATGGAAGAAGATACTTACCCATTCGATTTTCTCGTTTCGTCTGGTTGCAGTCGTACCGTGATGATCGTCTCTTTTCGAATGGGTGTTTGGCACCAGGAACCTGAGCGCAAAATGGCCAGATGGACCATGTGTCTCCAGATGTCAAACCGGTGTGGTTGATATGCAAGTGAGCTCTGCCAGGCATTTTTCGCGAAAGGTCGTATGCACTAGATGCAGGTCCACCTAGTCAGTGTATATCTCGTAGGCAGTTCACAAAAGGACACTTACCGCAAAGTGTCGTGTATCGGCTCCCAGCAAAGGCCTCGTTCCCCAACATCCCCAACAAACTCTTGAACAACGACTCGCTGCATAAGAAACCGCCACAACATACCGAACGTTCTCAATAGTGCAGGTAAACCAGGGAGTTGGCGGCCCCACTGTACCAGTCGACCTCAATTCCATCACCCTCCTTCTTCTTAACCTGGTCAACGAACCTCTGCTTAGTGTCGTTGAGAGGCTCCCTGGTAGGTACTGTGTGAAACCAAGTGCTAGTAACGATACGTTGGCTCATCTCAGCCATCTTGGTGTGCAGGTTTACTCTCACAATACCCGGGAACGTCTGTCGGAGCAATTTGCGGAAACCGTCCTTGTAGAGGCTGTAGTACCCGAACGGCATGTCCACTGAGACAATGAGACGTCTCTGACCGAGTGGGCGGCCCAGGATCCATCGGTCGCAAGTGTCCAGATTATCGAATCCGAAGTTGTTCAAGCTGTAGACCATTGCCGATGACTCAACGTACATCTGGCGGCATACTTTGGGGACCGCAAAAGTGGGTTGGACAAAGCTGGACGAAGTATTCGGGCCTTTGGTCAAAGGGTGCGTAACATGCGTGAGCCTGATATCCCATCTTCGAACGCACGAGTAATCATGGATGTCGACTTGATGATAGCCAACAGCATACTGCCAGATTTTGTTGCGGATTTCTGCCGGAAGACTGAGGAGCGGAGACTGGATGGAGTTGGCTTTGGCGCTGTTGTGCGTCAGCTTTCATAGGAGGTAGATCGTGGAGTCGCATCTACATCTTCATCAATTCTGAGCGAGCAGGAATCTCGGCTTTCATCAACCCGTTCAGGTACCTGCGACCAGGTTGTTTGGGCTTGCGGACTGTGGGGCCTTTCTTCTTGATGACCTTTGTACGTTTCGAGGAAAGCGTGTGATCTTTCGGCGCCGCAGAGCGAGCGGGCAGTCTGGGTGAGCCCATACTTGAGGCTCTATGGTCTTGTTGGGTGTAAAGAGAGTGTGTGGTTGAAGGAGAGTAGGCTCAAGAGAGCTCGATAACTGCAAGACCGAAGACGTCCGCATAATGGGCGATGAAATGAACGATGAAAGATGAGACATGTGCGAAGATTGATCGAGATGAAGTATCCGTTTTGAGACTGGTGAAGCCCGTATGCCGACCAATATGAAAAGTGATGGTGAGAGCAGCGAAGGCTGCGGGCGCGGGTAACTAACGCTTATCTAGGAACCTCACGGCAACTCGAAGGTATCTGGCACAGTGATTGCCGGTGACACAACTACCTGATTTTACATCAGGGAATAATGCGAGTTATGCTGCGTGCGTAAACAGTGTCGACATCCTCATCTGCGACCTATGAATGTAATGGACACCACGACTCTTTGCGCTAAGGTCAGTGAGGGACAGTTCATCCACCGTGCCGTGAAACTCTCTGCAATAAATCTCCGGGGTACCCAAACGGGATGTTATGCAAGGCTTGAGATTGAAGAACCATAATTGAGCGGTTGAAAAGACTTCGGTGGAGGCATCTTCAAATGTAGTCTAGCCATTTCTGTATCAAGATGACGTCAGAGAACTTACTTTCTCTCACCTCCGCACCTGGGCAGAATCCGACCATGTCCATAAAATACAGTAACGACAAATACGTTGTGCTGTAACCACATCTCATTTGTAACCCCCTTTTGGCAGTCATCGCCGTGTCCAATTCTTTCAGACCCCATGGAGGATATTTGTCCCAGCAACACCGACATGTGTGTACTCAGTAACGACAATCTTCAGGCCACTCCTCTCCCTTTGCAACAGTACTTTAGTCCTCTCCTGAATGTCCTGCTCAATCTGGTCGGCCGACCAACCATTCATTTCGCAAGAAAACCGGGCGTTCCATAGGTCGACGTAAAGCACTTCAAGGTGTGGGAACAGGTCTGTGAATCTGCAGGATGACTGCTCGAAGTATGCTCGTTCAAAAGATATTGGAGTCTTTAGCACCTTGATTTGCCGTGACTGTATGGGGAGGCGGCTTGATGTCCAGATTCTCAGGGCGTTCATTGACGTGAAGCCGAAGGAGTTCAGGGCGTATGGTAACAAACAAGTCTCGTCGTACATCTGTCTGCAGACAAGCGATAGCAACGGGTACGATTCCGCTTCTTCATCTTCTACAAGCGCCTTGTTCAGTCCCCCGTAGCAGAGTGTTGTTCTCAAGATGATATCCGCAGTCAGGGTGAGGACAACAAAATCGCGTATCTGCAGACATGGCTTCTGCAGAACCATGGTGAAGACCGCATTTCGCAGTTCTGCCGGCAAACGAAGAAGTGGCGACGCGCTCCTGTTTCTCTCAGCACTTCCGTGAGTTAGTTTGTGTCACCGCGGGCGCATCGTTCGTAGCTCACATAGGGCAGACAGCCAATTTGCTTGTGTTGAGGAGACCATGTTCTGTGAGACCCAGCCGTACATGGCTCTCCAGTGTGTCGCCCTCTTTACAAAGGCGCATAATGGGCGGATGTGGACTCATAACGGGCGTGGTTGTGTCGGATAACGGGGAGAGGGGTGTACCTGGGTAGAAGCTCCGCAAAAAGGCTACGCCGGACGGTGAGAGTGCTGCGGGTTTAGGCGAATAGCAAGCGATCCATAGATGTGAGTGTGCGGAAGGCACGCTAACGACACGCTAGGCCTTTACACTCTGGCGTACTTTCTCCGCTTGTATTTGGGTAGCTGTTTGCAGTGAAGCCGTTGTCCAATACAGTCGTAATAGCACAAGGCATTGCTAAAGTTCTGGTATTAAGAAGATCCTCCGCCTTCAGCCATTAGCGATTGCGTAAGGTACAGGTGACATATACTAATGTGCCCGATCTTCTAAGGGTGCAGTCGGATGCAGCCGAACTCGTAGGTACGTACTGCACTAGCTGATAGTCTCCTATTGTTGGATCTCATCACCCTAGGTGCTCGATGACTGCTGCATCAGTGAAGCCTAAAGCACGTGCAAGGGTTAAGTCAGCCGTTGCCCAGGTGACCCACACTGGTCCACTGCACCTGCCTTGAGCTGAAGGCCTGCTCAAGCTGTTACTCGCTCTTTCTCACACTCAACACGTCAGCGAGACAAATCTCCAACATCACCATGGTTCGCCGCTCTGTTCGCCTTGCGAAACCCGAAGACCGATCCCAGGCCCAAGTTTTCCATGATCTAGATACCGCCGCGGTCAGCGCCAAAAGCCAGAAACTCGAAGAAGCCGCGCATGCGCGAAAGAGGCAGCGACTGGAGTATGGCGAGTCCACCTCTTCGGCGGATACCATGATCAGGGAAGCTATGGCTGGGTCAGATGAGCTTCGAGACGGCCATAAACCCGCCCTCTATCGGGGCAGTCAGCTCAACGCACAACTCTCGGCGGATGATCCACGCAGTGAGATGTATGCACCCAACCTTCCCAAGAAACCTTTCTCGGCTAACGAGATTGCAGTGTCAAACGAAACAGCTTGCGATCACCTCTGCTATCTCTTCCAGCAGAGATTCGTTGCGTGATCTTCGAATACGCTCTTGGCCACCAGCATGTACACATCCTCACTGACGACTACGACCCGGACGTTTCTGTTGATCTCCCCGGACCAGCTCGTTTCGGCGCAGAGCTACGTCCTACCAACCAGACGGTGTCTAGTGCGCGAGCGCGACAGTTCCATAACTGTGTGTTCCCAATCGACTGGCAGTCTTATTATCGTTTCCGGCAGTACCAATCGCGCCCATACACTGGAGGCCCTCCTTGGATCATGAGAGACGAGGCCGAACGGGTTATCACCGCGACCAAGGATTGCATGACTCTACTACAGGTTGTTTGTCGCCAAATTTATCACGAGACTCGCTTTATCCCGTATGAGTTGAACGAGTTCTCTTTCCAGGACGAGATGACAATGAAGGATTGGTTCCGCGAGCGAGCGGCTGCCCAGAAACGGGCTATTAATACGATGTGGTTCGATCACGAATGGGAGCGCAGTCACACGGTCGTGCCTGTAAGTGGATCTCATCACAGAGGCGCCCGTGCCTACATTGGAAGAAGTCATGGTATTCAGAAGGTCTATGTCTCTGTGGGGGCAGTCCAGCATAGATGGGTCACAGAACGTGCTGAGTATAGAGACTATTGTCTGGGCGTTGTCAAAGGAAGGGTTTATTCCCTACTGAGTAGGAAAGAAGGCGAAACTGAGGTGGAGATAGTCAAGTAAATTGGTGTAGTGTGGTATGATCATGTGTGCTTTCATTGTACGCACTTCATCTACATGCTTGGCACAATATGGGTATGCATGATAGTAATCTAAATGCATCTCGCCTGTGCAGCCTCAGTTGCCGAAAACAATATAAACATCTTAGTGCTCCTTGAAGGAACGACGCATGACCAGAGTGAGTTCATATATATATCATTCGGATCGCTACAATTCTTTGAGTGGGTATTCACGAAATAGCTTCTCGACTGGACAGCCTAAAATGCATCTCCTGCTAGCCCTCTCCGCCCTCGCTGCAACGGCGCAAGCTCATTGCAAGTTCACTACAGTGTAATCGGAAGAGTTGAACTGACTCTCAAAAGACCGCTTCTCCAAGCTCATCCTGAATGGCGTGCCCGAATCGGCGGAGTGGACTTCAATCAGACAAACGAAGAACTACCAAACCAACTCGGGTGTTACGTCCGTGACTAGTCCCGACATGCGCTGTTTCCAAAACCGTCCTGGAACGGGTACTGCCGTTGTCGCTGCTGGTGATAACCTCGGCTTCGTTGCTGAGACATCGATTACGCACTTCGGACCAGTGCAGTTCTATATGGCGAAAGTACCAGATAGTGCGAATGTCAATACGTGGGAGCCGGCGGGTAACGTTTGGTTCAAGGCGGCGAGTATCAGCGCGGTGGGAAATCCCTTGACGAGTGGGGAGAGCACATGGCCTGCGTATGGTACGTCTTCATACCCCTCCTTGTAGCTTCCTTTCGCCTTCAGTTGCTAACGTTAGGGCAGGAAAGTCGCAAGTACAGTTCCAGATCCCTAAGAACGTGCCGAGTGGGAAGTATCTTGTCCGTGTAGAATCCATCGCTCTCCACCAAGCTCAGTCAGTCGGCGGCGCGCAGATGTATTTGTCTTGTGCGCAGGTCGAAATTACCGGGGGTGGTAATGGACAGCCTGGGCCTCTGGTTGCGTTCCCTGGAGCATACAATGCAAACGATCCTGGGCTGAGGTGGTCGTATTATCCGATCGCTACGAGCTACACTGCGCCTGGACCCGCTGTATGGAAAGGCAACTGAGTTGCTCCGGAACTGGTCGAAATGATGGGTTGCGCCGGCGATGCCGATGCGGAAGGTGTGGGAATATGTGTTGTGGGATCCTCCCTTTTGGCGAATTCTTTCTTCCATGAGTGGCCTTCTGCCTGAACCTCTTCTTTTCCCGAGCCTTTTGAAATTGTCATGCCGTACATTCTTTTCATACCAGATATCGCTCCTGTCTCCGCTTCTCTGCCTCCTCTTTCTGAGCTAGCACAAAGGCAACCTCAGACCCAATAGCAACTACAACTGTTGCTGCAATGCCAATGCCAGTTCCAATAGCCGCAAAGCCCAGAATGGTAAAACACGTGAACCCTGTGAAGATAGTGAGGTACATGACACGAAAGAAAAGTAGGAAGAGGCCGTCGGGTCTGCGCTTCATCGCGTGTGAGTGAGACAATTCTCGATGCCTCAGGGCGTTCAAGATATGGTACTTCTGAGGTGCTGCTATTTTGATCGTCTCGAGGCTGGGCTTCCGTTTTGGGATACGAGGTGATGTTTGATGCTGATCTTAGCTGGGCAGCACGGCCATTGAATTGTGGGGATGCGATTCCGCGCCAACCGAGCGATTGTGCACACGAAGGGAATAGCATCGTACCACAACGATCAAGTTGTTGATAACGCCTATGACGAGGTGAAGCGCAGTCATCGCGGGGGCGTCAAAGCCACGTGACATGGCGTTCAGCAGCTTGCAGTGGCCGCGTCAGCTTGTCGACAATTGGCCCACGAGGGCGTGTCCTCATGCCAATACTAGGCCGGATGAGCGTGCCATCCTGCTACCTATCTGTTTATAGCAGTGGCTATGCAGGCGGAGGGCCCGTTCAGGAAGAACAGACATGATGAAAAGACCCCTGGGGATTTCAGACCGGCCATGGACAGTGAGGGTACAATGCGCTGAACAGTGCGAATCGAATCGGAGATGAAGTTTCAATGCTTACGGCATGAGAATTGAGAAGCTTAGTTGCTCGCAGACAACTGCTCGTGGATGTCGGTTTGCTGGAAGACATTGCGGCGGGCACAAGCGCGTTCGCTGACGTAATCGCTCTCCGAATTCGCCAGCAACCTTAACAGGCTCGCAGGCTGGGGGGCGCATACAATAGAGGAGTATGCGAGATGCATGACCATGGATATCATGAGTGTTATGTCTCGTGAAAGACACGAGGAACTTTATGACCGCAAGAAGATGCCGTGATTAAGCAGCCGGCACTTTGAGATCGCGTCTCCGCACGTGTCGACGCGTTTGTCTTGGCGCGCGTGAAGCCGCTCGGTCGCCACTGGTTCACTCGCACATTGCACAGCACACGAGCACCACAACACTACTCAGCCATGCGCAATTACTTCCTCAATGTTTAGAAATCCTAGAGAAAACCGCTCCTTGCCCGAATCGTCCCGATTAATACCCTCTACCGGCCGGGCTCCATCGCCACCCCGCTCATCGTCTCGAGTAGCCATGGCTGCCAAAACCGCAACGAAGAAGGCTGCGCCCAAGCCGAGCACGAAAGCTCCCCCACCGAAGAAAACCAGCGTTCAGACCACTTTGACGCCAGCCGACTTTGCTAAGAAGTCGCCTGCTGGCAATGGCAAGAAGCAGAAGCCGGCTGGCACACCGAACGGCAACATCATGGCGTTCTTCAAGAAAGCCGAGGAGATCAACAGCCGTATATTCCTACAGGAACGAGGGTCAAATCCAACGATAGTGCTTGACGGCGACGAGGACGACGTGGGTTGGAGTGACGAGAAGAGCAATGGCGTCATGACTACAGACAACAGCGATGAGCGGTACAACGAGAATGGTGGGAGCAACAAGAGGCGCAAAGTCAGCGAGGAGGCGGTAGCGCCCGTGCCGGCCTGTTCACCACCCCCGCCGGCTGATGTTGAGAGCAACGCTCTGGATGCATTGGCAGCCGACGTTTCTAAGGAAGCGCCCAAACTGCGGAAGAAGTCTGGACCCTTCGTGGACGACTCAGACTCCGAAGACGACGAAGTGGAAATGCCTGCTACAACTCCAGGTATGACCATACGAAGCCATAATGAGGAATCGCCAATGACTAAACCAACGGAGGACCTGTTACCCCCGGATAGTGCCGAACACTCCAAATCCCACGATACCACACCCATAAAGTCCGAATCGACATCTCAACATGGGGGCGAAGAGTTGGAGGAATACGAAGATCTGGAAGACGACGATCTGCTCGAAGGCGAAGAATACGATGAAAGGCGATGGATGAAGGAACAACAGAAGCTCGAGATGGAAGAGGCAGGCTTTGAGGGCGACCCGGACGATTTCGACGCGCCACCTCTCTTCCCCGAAAGCGATGATACCGAAGTCAAACACGAAGAGCCACGTACCAATGACATACCTTCCTGTCCGATATGCGGCAACAATCTCCCAGGCCTGTCAGAACAAGACGTATCCGTACACGTCAATGCGTGCCTAGACGGCAATCCACTCCCCTTACCTGTAGTGAAGTCTGAGGAGGAGAGCAAGCCGACCATGACGAGTAAAGCGAAAGTTTTCAAAAAGCCGGACAGGCCAGCCAAACCTGGCCAAGCCAATCCGTTCCAGCTTGCGAAGCCCAGCGCTCAGCCAAGTTCAGCCTTTTCGAAGCTTATGGCCGGCCATGCTGAAGATGCTGCGTGGGCATCTGCTGCAGCCGAGAACAACAAGTCTCGCGGCAAGCCTGCATACCAACGCACCTGCCCATTCTACAAAATAATGCCAGGCTTGTTCATCGCTGTAGATGCGTTTCGATATGGAGCTGTCAAAGGTCAGAATGCCTACTTCCTGAGTCATTTCCATAGCGATCATTACATCGGGCTTACTTCCTCATGGAAGCATGGACCGATATACTGTAGCAAAGTCACTGGCAACTTGGTACGCCAACAGCTTCGTGTGGACCCCAAGTGGGTGGTCGATCTGGATTTTGAGAAAAAGACAGAAGTACCAGGAACGGAAGGCGTCCACGTCACAATGATCTCTGCGAATCATTGCCCTGGCAGCTCTCTGTTCCTGTTCGAAAAGGCACTTAGCAAGGGCAATAACCCGAAGCTGCAACGAGTGCTACACTGTGGAGATTTCCGTGCGTGTCAAGCGCACATCGAACACCCGCTATTACGCCCAGACGTCCTAGATGCTGTGAGTGGAAAGAATCGGCAGCAAAAGCTAGACGCTTGCTACCTTGACACCACCTACCTGAACCCCAAATACGCTTTTCCGCCTCAGAAGCAGGTCATCCAAGCTTGCGCGGACATGTGCGTAAGTCTCAGCAAAGTCCGCGCGGACGACTCCGATGGATGGGAGCAGATGAAGCGAGACCGCGCAGGCCAAGGCATGGTCAAGTTCGTTCGGAAAGACTCTAATACCGACGCTACGGGCGAGCCCAAAAGCCCTGCACGAGGGCGACTTCTGGTTGTGGTAGGCACATACAGCATTGGGAAGGAGCGCATTTGCACTGGAATTGCGAAGGCCTTGGGAAGCAAGATCTTCGCGCCTGCCAACAAACAGCGCATCTGCAAAGCGCTTGAGGACCCTGAACTGGATGCACTACTTACGACAGATCCTCGGGCAGCTCAAGTACACATGACGCCGTTGTTTGAGATCCGCGCGGAGACATTGGACGACTACCTGCGCGATTATGCCGACACTTTTACGCGCGTTGTCGGCTTTAGACCCTCGGGCTGGAACTATCGTCCACCAAAAGGTCGCTTTACCGAGTCACCCCAAGTACAGACCGTCTTGCATTCCGATAATTGGAGAAGTACCTTCTCGATGAAAGAACTGACGCCGCAAGCCGGGAGTGGAAGTCGGGCAAGCTGCTTCGGTGTGCCGTACAGTGAGCATAGCAGCTTCAGAGAGCTTACTATGTTTTGCTGCGCTTTGCGCATCGACAAGATCATCCCGACAGTCAACGTGGGCAGCGCAAAGAGCAGAGAGAAGATGAAGGCCTGGTGCGACAGATGGGCGGCGGACAAGAAAAAGAACGGGCTGTTTAAACTGGGTGAAGATGGAGAGGGTTGGTCATAGTGAGATTTGATTGGCATGCGCATTGCAATAGTGGACCCAAGTCTATGATTTGGTAGCGACTCTACCAACCTTGGCTTCACGCCAATGCCAATGATCTTTCAACATTACTCAGTCTCACTATATATTGATATTGGTTCTCTAGCGTCTACTCGACACACTCATCTACGATATACCCAAGTTCGCTTTCGCCATGTCGTCAATCATCCGCCTCCTCGTCATTTCCGATACTCACTCTACTTGGCCCTACACCCCAGACTGCCCTGCACCTCCATGCGACATCCTCATCCACTGTGGCGATCTCACACAAGTCGGCGGTCTTCCCGCATACAAAAAGGCTATGCAAGACATTCAGACCGTCGACGCAGAGCTGAAACTCGTCATCGCCGGCAACCATGACCTCGATCTCGATGAAGAGTGGGTGCGCAAGAACGCTGAAGATGGAGAAGAGGAAGAAGATATAGAGGACAGTAGGAAATGTGTCAGTATCATGAAGGCGCACGAGAAAGAGGGTGTATACTACCTGGAAGAGGGCAGACACGAGTTCAAGCTGAAGGATGGGAGAAGCTTCAGTGTCTGGGCGAGTCCGTATACGCCGGAGTTCAACGGGTATGCATTTGCGTACGGAAAAGACGAAGATCGATTCAGCAACATACCCGAGGACATCGACATCTTGATGACACATGGACCGCCTTCATTCACTGACGAACTCGGCTACGGTCTCGATGTCAATGTGAAAGGAGAGAGTTGCGGATGCAAAATGCTAGGCGATGCAGTAAAGAGAGTGAAACCAAGATTGCACTGTTTTGGGCATGTGCACGAAGGGAGAGGTGCTGTGGAGATGCAGTGGTCTGGGGCGAGAGGTGGGAACGAAAGAGTGAAGGTACTGCCAGATGACGGGAAAGTCCTTAGCATCAATAAGAAACAAGGAGGGACGAGTTCCGTGCTAGTGAACGCGGCGGTATGGGGTGAAACAAAAGGCTGGACTATCGACCTCGACATATAAACTTCCCCCTGGCTTCCACCATACCCCAACAACCCCTACCACCACAACCAACACCAAGATGTATCAATCAATGGCCAGCCCCTACTCAGACAGTACCAGCGCACACGAGACTCATGGACCCGCCGACCGCCTCGAGCATCTCGTACACGCCTACGGAGTCGACCTTGTTCGCCACTCCCCAATCTTCAAACTCCACAGGCGATTCGGACTTCCATACGCAGCTCTTCTTGTATGCCTTGCCCTCATCATGTCGGTCTACGTCGACGCAACATTCGGCTACGGCGTATACTCCTACGGCTTCTTGGGCACCAAAGCAGCCGATAATGTCATGGTTTTTCTGTTGATCGTGGTGGTCGCTTTTCTATGGGTGATGGCACGCATTTTCTGGGTAACGAACTCGGAGAGGGAAATCTCGGGACGAAGGAGCCATTCGTACATGTTGGGTAGGCAGCATGTTGCGAGGGGAAATGAGGGCGCGGATGAAGCGGTGATTGTCGTGGAGAGACAGGATACGGTTTGAGTTCCCCATGTGCTGTGCCAGATGTCACTTATAGCCATGTTATCTTTCAACGGCATGGATTTTCTGTAAGAAGGAATTAAGATCTTAATACTTTTCATTGACTACCTTTGCATGTGTACCAGGGTATACAAGCCACCTCACCATCCGCGCACTTTTCATGGAGCTACTCTGGGCAATGATCGAAGTTCTCAGCAGCTTCGCTCTTCCATTGCCGTTCACTCATCGCCACCTGACTGTCCTTCAGGATATTTGAGCCAGTATCGTTCTAGTGCAACTTTGAACGAAGGCGGGTGCAATTTGACTGTTTTCGCAAGATTTTCCGGGAACTCCTCAAGATGTAATATCTCTGTATCTTCCGGTTCATAACCCGCTTCTTCGCTGTTGATCGACTTCCAGAAGGCCTCCTCCCCGTAACGATGCTCAATCTCAAGTGTCTCGACGTGAAGATTGCGCACGGACTCCAACGCGGAGCGGTATTCCCAATCTGCCGGGCTCTCGAATGAGATGCACCGAGCCTGCTGCCCATAACATTGTAGAAATGAGTGCAAGTTCTCGGCATTCATCCTAGTATTCCTCACAGTCAATTTGTCAAGAGTAGGCGTGTCAGAAGGGGAAGGAAGCGGGATGATCGGCCAAGGATTGATGAATTCGCTATGTTGGCTATGATCGACCACCAACGAGCGAAGGCGAGGAAAGAGACTTCTCGTGATCGACAGTCTGCCCTATCAAGCTGTTAGCACGAATAATAGGATGTCTCAGAACTGCGTTGCCAAAGCATAGCATAGGAGATACATACTAGTAACAAGTTAGCAAGATATCTTAAGAGCTATTCGTAGCGGCTACTTTACCCTTCTTTCTATATAATGGTGTTTGGTAGTAGGGGCAGTACATGTCTCTTAGGACAAGTGTTTCTACCTTTTGACTGGCTTTCGCGAAGATTACAGAGGGGATGTTGGTGATGAACGCGTGATGTTCATCGAGATCGACGGCCAGAGTCATCGTACGGACTGTGATCTTCGATGCTACCATGGCATAAATGAGAATGTGAAGGCCAAGATGAGCTATATTACCAGCATTCCTCATATCCTCTTCTTCGCGGTAGCGTGAGATACTTCGAAACTTCCGGAATAGGTTATGATATCGCCCGGGTCGGGTACGAGGCTGGTGATAGAATCCGATATGGTCGATGTTCTTGAAGCAGAACAAGGCCTGGACTAAGACCTCTTGGAGGGCCCTCATCGCGGCCTCCTGGATGATACTCATAGAGTTGCAGGCTCTAGCAAGACGTGGAGGCGTTGCGGAAGTAGGAATGCCGCTACCCGTCATTGGAGATCCGTAGCCCTTCTGCTTCCAGATGCGGGGGTACCAAGAGTCTTCAGCCAATTTGATTTGAAGTAGATCTGAGTAAGAGTCTTGGCGTAGTTGATCCCACTCTGCCTGCTCCATCTGCATCGTATCTGCCCCATGCTCAAGTGGGTACCCCGGGGGCACTTCAGCGCAGGCTATGATAAGTTTTGTAACCCAAGGAGCCAGATGCTCGCATGTAGACACCGCATTAAGGTTGGATATACTCTGACCCGATCTCAGATCGAATATCGTTTCGCCCAGGTAAGCACCGAAAGCCTTCCATGAACAATTACGGAAGCGACGGCTGGTGAGGCGAAATGCGAGCGAACACGCTTGCTCCCCTTCCTGGGCGTATCGATAGACAACAGATCCACTGTCTTTGTCTTCGGTAACTGGCAGTACAGCATGCTTCGCAACTTCCAGCAGTATGCACTCTAGTAACTCGGCGGGCAGCTTCTCGATAGGCGAAGTATCTACCAAGGGCAGAGTCGTTGGATTCATTAAGGGTATTGCGCTTGTCGTGTCGATTGTGGGGTTTTAGACGGCCGAACTTGGTTTGAGGAAATACAATGAGCAAAGGATAGAAGGCTAAACGTTGGGGCAGGTGCGAGGAATAAGCGGGTCGACTAGGCATCTGCGCTAGGATCTGCGAGAAACCACCTGGGCACGGAAATGAAAGAACGCGAAGACCCTGAAGTCACAATCGAGATTGCGTCATTCTGCACTTCAGGGCTATTTCCGATTGATGAAAGATCTTAGTGGATACTTGAAGAAATCGATTACTATTCCACAGACAGACTTCACGTAGCACTTACCTCAGCTACCGTCGCGCTCACTTCGACAACCGCTACCGCCGGCTCCTTCTCCTTCTTCAGTTTATCTTGTATAGCCTGATAGTTCCGGCTCATGGCATTCCTCGTAAACTCCTCACCCGTCACCATTGGATACTTCTTCAGTGGACCCTGAATCTTGGCGTCTTTGCACGGCTGATTGAAGAAGGCGATGCTGTAGCGCTCGCCGTAGAAGTCATCAGGCTCACATGGAGCCTTGACACGATGGAATGTCGACTTGAAGCGGTCGTCAGACCACGACATAAGGAGGTCACCGACATTGCAGACTGTGGTGCATGAGTAAGGGTTTCAGGTCGACATAGCACATCAACATACCGATTGCGTTCTTGTCTGCGTCCGGCTCAACCTTGGTCCACGCATCCCCGTACCCGAACGAAGTCGATACTTCCCGCCCCGGACAGATCTCAAGACCGGACTGCCCTGCCTTCTGGAACAGCAAAGTCAAGAAATCCCAGTCCGCATGTGCACCCGCTCGATGATGCACCTCTCCTGTTGGATTCGGTACCTGCGGAGTCTCAAAATAATGCAGTAATCGGCAGACAGTCTGAGACTCTGGTCGGCTGACATCGTGAGCTTTGACGAAGTAATCTTCCTCGAAGTTCAGCCCTCGCGCAAAGCACCTCATGAGCCTCTCGCTGACTGCCTGTACTCTGTGCATGAACTCCAAAGTCTCTGCTCGGAACCCCGGAAGGGTCTGGTCACTCAGCCATCGACCTATTCAACGATCAGCACGGCCATACACATAAGAGGAAAGAAACCAGCTCACCGTTCATGCCTTCGCCAAATTGCATTTGATAAGACTCTTTGCGGTCGACTGCACCAGTAGATGGCCGAATTTGAGCATTCTTCTCCCATCCGGCGTTGTGTTGAGGGGAGAATGGCACTTGCGATTTCACAGGATCGGGCTGGTCGAAGAAACGCGCTGACTGATTGAAGATGCCGTCGACAGCGTCGCGTGTTATGCCGTGGTCCACGATGCAGAAGAAGCCGTGGTTCTCTGCAGCATCGACAAGTTCCTGTGTAATCACATCGATGCGCGCATCGAAGTCGCGGAGGGAGATTGTCGGCACAGGGCGATCAACATACTTCGTCGGTGCCATAATGAGAGGGTCGATATTCGGACTGATTGACGTTGGTGAGTTTGATATATGACCGTAGTGTCTTGAGGGCAAACTGTACCTATTCTTATGTTCGGTCATCTTTGCTTCTACGCATGTGGTGTCGCAATATGCGTTCAGGCGTGCCAAAGCCGACGCGGCCAGGGCGGCCGCTCACATCGGCCGCCATCACCAACACGTGTGTCGTGCTGCCTAGATACCTAGATAGGCACCTGCAGCCTGCGAGACGGAAGTCGCGGTCGAGATGAAGTGGGGCCGAGGCCAGATTGTGGAAGGTTCCGCGTTGTCGGCCGCACCCTGTTCATCTTCCTTCCCCACCGCAACTGCACGCCGATAGCCAACTGATAGCTAACGCGCCTTGCCAATCACCGGGAACGCGATGCTGAGAAAGACGGTCTCATCGCATCGAGATGTCCTCGATCGCGACACCTAGTCCACGACCGACACGGTCAACATTACCATGGACGACAGCAGCACCTCGAAAGGGCCGAGACCCCGTCTGACATGTACAGAGTGCTATAGAAGGAAGATCAAATGTGATAAAAATGTGCCTTGCAGCACATGTATTCGAAGGTCAGCTCCTCCGTTTCCAAGGCAGTCTAGTATCCGCGAGTCTTCGACAAAGACTGAGCCTGCGCGACTGTGGATTGCTTTTCGCCGGGAGCCCAGAGCTTCTTGGTACTGCGCAAGCTGCTCGAACCATCTCATGCTAAGTAAAGCAGGGGATATGCAAGCTTCTGTACGAGAGAAGACGCGGCTGTGACATCCTCAGTACCACCACCACCCGCCTACCAAACTCAAGGTGCAGCGACAGCATCTGACGATCTAGTGCGCGCTCTACTCGACCGCGTAAGTCAGCTTGAAGCCAAGCTACAGGAACAATGTGATATAGCCTCGAGCGAAGCACCCTTGCCTCTGGAAATCTCTGATACACCAGCGAGTCCAGTTCATAATCCAGCGATCACTTCACCTCTCAACAATAACGCATCACAATCTGTGGACACTGATGATGCAGCTACCGTGTTGGAGTTTCTCGCATGGGGCCGTAAGAAAGACATCGACTACGGGACATCACCAGAGCAGAACAGCGGGCCAAGGCGACTGAGTATCAGGGATGAGGATGAAGCGGTTGCATCCGGTATCCTATGTGAAAACAGCAAAGATGCACAGCTTGACGTACTTGAAGCGCTTCTTCCGAACAAGACTCATATCGTCCAGCTTGTGGAGTACCACAGTACTACCATCCTATGGTACCATGGGTCTTACTCCTCAGCTATATTCAAGGACGACCTGGACATCTTTCTTGGAGACTACGAAGGCGACGTCCGGCACCAAGGCTTGAATCTGCAATGGCTCAGTTTACTGTTTGCCATCATAACAGGCAGTATCACATGTGCGCCGCCATCTGTATATCAGTCTTGGGGATTCTCATCAGAAGAGAGGAAGGTCTTGTCACAAAGATGGTACGAAGCGACTGTGACGTGTCTCGAAATCGCTGGCTACATCGAGGCTCATACCATCTACTCTGTTCAAGCCATCGCAACGTTGACCATTGCGGCTCATATCCTTGGCAAGTCGAACAGTCAGTCAATACTGCTTGCATCAGCTGGTCGTATTGCTCAAAGTCTTGGGTTGCACCGGCTTGGCCCAGAGAGTGCAGCCTCAGTCACCTCGAAGGAGCAGCTGCGTCAACGTGAAGCCGGTCGGCGGGTGTTCAATCAGCTTTGCACGCAAGATTGGTTCCAGATTCCGTTCTCCGAGTCATATACGCTGAACCCTCGCTTCTTTACGACCGTTAAGCCGTTGAACTGCAATGACGACGACATGGTACCGCATTCATTGAGCATACCCACCCAAGCGAGCTATTGCAATTATCGCTATGATATTGCGGCACTCATGCCGCAACTCCTAGAATCAATGGCAGGATGCAACACGCTTTTCACAAAGTATGAACAAGTACTGCATTACGACGAGAAGATGCGGAAGCTTGCTACCGCATTTATACCAACATTCCTATCAACAAATGCACCAGTAGCGACCGATTGGCCTATCTACGTTGGCTGGGCTAGACGCTCACTGGCTATATGTGCTTCACACAAGATCATCATGATACATCGGAAATTCATCGGCCTTTCCTTCACGAATTCCGCATTTTCCTTCACCCGGCGTACCTGTATTGCAGCTTCCAAAACCATATTGAAAGAGGCGCTATCGGGCAGCGATGAGCAGGGCCCGATACTATGGATCGAGCAAGCCTTCTCAGTAGCAGCGGGGATCATTCTTAGTCTTGATGCCCTTCATCGATCAGCCAGTGACAGGGAGTTCGACGAACATATCCGACTTGTTGCTGACGCAATCGCTTACTTGAGTAGCTTCGAACATAGCAAGATTGCCTCGCGCGGCGTGCGGTTGCTGTCTGGACTGCAGCGCGAACTCCAGTGTGGAAACACGAACAGCAAGAAGCGTGCACGACCTGCGGAAGGTCTTGGGATCTCGTCGTCATCGGGCAAGCGAGCCCGTAGATTTAATGTGGAGACCTTTATCAGCGACGTAGCCCAAGACTTGCAGGTAACAACTCCCACGTCATCATCGACCGAAGATGTTCCTGTAAGCGTGGGAGATACTTCATGGAACTCTTTCATGAACTTGCTACCGCCGCAAACAGGATTTGGGGGGCAAAGTCTATTCGATGACTTGCTTTCATTTCAGTTTTAAGCTCATACATACTTTAACGACATGTGGTTTCGCGCACCTACATCGCTCCTTTTCCTTATATCTGCCACTGACTTCCTTGCTTTCTGTATGATCGTATCCTCATCAATGCGCAACAACTTGCCGTTACTGACAAGCAACTGACCATCTACAAGAACTGTATGGACATCGGCACCAGAGGAATGGATCAGCACTGTGACAGGATCAATGCCACCGGAAGTCTGCTCGTTTGGATCCCAGGGAGCACAAGATACGCCTTTTGGCTCAACAACGACGATATCCGCTTTCTTCCCAACCTCCAGGCTCCCAATCTCATCTTCCAGTCCTAGCGCTCTTGCGCCGTTGATCGTCGCGAACTCCAAGACGTCGTACGCGCTGAGGACCCCGGCATTTTGCCTGACACCGCCGTGTAGAATGGAGGCTAGATGCATCTCCCGAAACATGTCGTACGTATTATTACACGGTGCACCATCGGTCCCCAGAGCTACATTCACACCGCTGGCCACCATGTCTGGTATCGGTGCCACACCAGACCCAAGCTTGAGGTTACTTGTGGGGTTGTGCGAGACAGTACTTTTACTTTCGCGCAAGATATCGAAATCTCCAGCTGCTGCATCCGGATGTACGCAGTGGGCGAATACTGACTTCGGGCCCGTCAAGTGCGTATCTCGGCAGAATTCGAAAGGGCTGCGTTGGTAATACTGTCGGTAGATGGGTAGGTCTTTAGGAGCTTCTGCGCAATGCATAGTGAGTCCGATGTCGTGTGCTCGCGCTGCTTCGCCGATCGTAGCATGGACCGCCATCGGTGAGCCTCGAGGGGTGCCCGCTGCGAACCACATGTGTAGACGGTCGTCGGAAGAGCCATGGTACTTCCTGTGCGCTGATAGTGCAACTTCCACAGACATTGAGTCCACGTCCCGATCTCTGGCATCTTTCATGTTGAGGTCTGAGTTTGTCTCGCCAACTTTGATCAATTTGCCCTAGCAGCTAAGTCAGCTCATCGCATTGATAGTGCTTCGAAGAACTCACCAAGCACGCACGAATGCCAGTTTCTTCTACTGCTGTGACGACGTTCTCAAGGCCGCTCCTATGCGTAAGCATAGCCTCAAGAAAACATGTCGTCCCCGTCTTCAGCATCTCCGCAATCGTCAGCATTGAAGCCACATAGCCATCGTCTGCAGCGTAGTTGGCCTCCAATGGCCAGATGGCATCACATAACCAGTTGTGCAATGGGAGATCTTCGGCTAGTCCACGGAGCAGTGATTGCGCGAGATGGGCATGTGTGTTAATCAAGCCCGGTATGATGATCTTGTTCTTGCAGTCGATGATATCAAGACCTCTGTCCTCGCTCCGGTTGACTTGATCGATGAGTTCAGAAGTCTCTCCGAGTGCTGTGATGCGGCCGTTTTCAACGAGGATTGCGCCATCGAGTATGATTTCCCGGCTCTTATTGACAGTGACGATGGTCGCATTCGTCAAGAGGCGCAGCGGCGTTTGATTTGATCTTTCCATATTATTTCGAAGTGATGCTGATACTGCTGGCTGAGATCTACGAGGATGCTAGATACGGCGTTGGAGGGTTTTGTGAAGGTGTAGGTTCAAGTTTCTAGGAGATCTCATCCATCCCTAATCTCATCAATGAACTTGGGAATCTAGGCGAATGATTACTTCACGCGATTACTCTCATCATCCTATTTGCATGGTCGCGACTTCCCATAGGCGTGCGCTGACAGTCGCCTCCGCCGCTCTCCGCTTTCGCGCCTTCGCTAAGGTGACATGGGGCGGCCGACGCTAGCGATATCTCCCCTCTTATCTAGCTCACGTATTCTGTCACCCGTCGCACATCTCACGGCATACGCACAAGTATCATCGCAGTGTTATCAGGTACAAACAATAGCCGGATTCCGATGGGCTGGTTATCGCGGGGTTTACAAGCGCAGAAACGCCTATCGTGGGAATGGCTCCTGCCGATCCAGAACCACGAGACAACAATGGCTAATAGGTTGATATATAACCATGCAGCTCAATTTTGAAACGCATCTGCCGCGAGAAATCAGCCAGCATACTGGAATCCCACTGGGTTGAGTAGGATTAATCATGGTCATCGACTCCCGGAGCGAGATGAAGCCGAAGTCCAAGTACGCTGAAGAAACGGGTCAATACTCGTCCGCCGAGAGTCAAGAGATAGGTACAGTGACCACGAAGTGGCACAATACGCTGGCGGAGATCAAGTATGCTTTTACGACGAAAGATGGATGGATCGGCGACTACGTATGTCAATCCTTAACCTACCCGACTATCTGCCATAGGTAGCTGACAACCCCAGGACTACGTCTACTTGATCACTCCCAACATCTGGCCCTTGAACAGAAGGTACAAAGACTATCAAGCGCCATTCTACGGACTCAACGACCGCGTACCCGTTCTTTTGACACTACTCCTCGGCCTTCAGCATGCACTCACCATGATCGGGTCCATTGTGTCACCACCACTCGCAATCGCCTCTGGGGCGTTCAACTTCGAGCCCGCTATGACAACGTATCTGGTCTCGACAGCCTTCATCACCACAGGCATTGCGACAGCCCTGCAAGTTACTCGGCTGCATATCATGAAGACGCCATTCTTCATCGGCACAGGGCTCTTGAGCGTCGTGGGACCAACATTCGACATCCTACCCATTGTCTTCAACTACGCCGCTTTACGATACAAGTCCGGCTCTTGTCCAGTTCTTGAAGACGGAACTCAAGGGCCATGTCCTGATGCGTGGGGTGCATGCCTAGGCACTATGCTGTGCTGTGTCTGGATCCAGATAGCAATGGCTTTTGTACCGCCCAAGATGCTCAACAAGATCTTTCCCAAGCTCATCACTGGATCACTTCTAACCCTCATTGGAGTCTACCTCGTTGGTAACGGACTGCAGAACTGGGGCGGATCTTCGAACTGCCATGGAGGAGAGGGTTTCTACGCTCTTTGTCCGGATATCACTGCGCCGCGACCGCTCATATGGGGACATCCGAAGCTGATCGGCTTAGGGTTCAGTGTGTTTGCTACTATCATCTTGGTCGAAGCCGTCGGTGCGCCGCTCATGCGTTCGGCTTCGGTCATCATTGGTCTAGCTGTAGGATGTGCCATCTCAGGCGCAACAGGCTACTGGTCGACGGAGCAGCTCAACCAAGCACCCGGCGGAACCTTTCTTTGGGTACACACGTTCAAGCTCTCCGTTGATGGCGCGCTAGTACTGCCTATGATAATCATGTTTGCCTGTCAAGCCGTGTCTTGCATTCCCGATATCTTGGCCACTGCAGAGCTATCAGGTGTTGACATCGAGGGAACGGAGTTCAACAGCAGGATCCAAGGCGGCATTCTGTGCGACGGACTCGGAAGCTTCTTCAGTGCACTGGCTACGGGCCCACCGATGGTCAGCCAGGCAGGCAACAACGGCGTTATTGTTCTCACCGGTTGTGCATCTCGCCGGGCAGGATGGGCAGCAAGTGGCTTCCTGGTCCTCATGGGGGTCATTGCGAAGTTCGGTGCTGTCTTCGCTTCTATGCCGCCGTCTGTCCTCGGCGGTATGCAAGTCTTCCTTTACAGCACCATTGCTGTGGCCGGTATCCGTGTCCTCGCACTCATCCCATGGACCCGCCGCGATCGCTTCATCCTCGCAGTCTCCCTGGGCATTGGGTTCATGGACATATGTCAACCCGACTGGTTTTCACAGGTTTTATCGTACGATGGGCCGAATGAGAATCTGGTAGGATTCGAGCAGGGCATCAACCTTGCTGTGGAGACTCCGTTTGTCATTGCTGCTATTGTTGGTATATTCTTGAACGCTGTACTGCCGAAGGACAAAAGCGCGGCGCCGATGGTAGGATACGGTGATGAACAGAAACATCCTAGGATAGGGCAACGTGAGGATTAGACATATATCACAGATATTAAGAGGCTTTTTCCCGAGTCATGGCGTGTTGGTTTTGTTTGTGTATTCGTCTTTATGTGAACGATCTTGTATGCATACGGCGGTGTCTCGGTACCGCTGCTGTCGCACAATGATTTTCATCGCTTATTGAAGCGACGTCTGTCTCTGGAGATGATAACTTGCTACCTGCGGAGAGGACTTCCATATTCCATCCTGCCATCAGCCTCGCTCTACCTTCTGCCTAACCATCCAGGCATCCAATATATGCCTTAACATCCCACTTAACACGCGACCAACATGCCACTCTATTCGGTCCTTTTCCACATTCCTCGTCGGCCTCCCGACCCCACAACCGCCCCATCACAAAGCACATCCAAGTTTCATAGTGGCCTCGCGTGGAAGTGGTATGTGGTTTCGAATAGTCTTCGGCGCGCGGCAGAAATGCGGATACCAACGACGATGCGGTGTGGGTAAGGGCTTAGCCGAATCGAACATCACTTGCAAGAATGGGGGAGGTTGGTCTGTGAAGATCTTCAAGGCTAGGAATTCTCGGCTGCCCTGCCGAGTTACATCGGCGGACGGCAGGTAAAATATCGCAGCAAGGCGAAAGTGGAGATAATGAAGCGGAGAGTGGAAATGCGAGTTTTCCCTCGAAGTGGGTTTTGACCTGACATGGCCAACGATAGGAGTTTTGGAGATTACGATGGTGATTCATGGCATTGATGATGATATTTTTGAAAACGAGGCTGTGCCAAAATTATCATTACCTCTCCACCTCGGAGTAGACCGACCGAGAAAGAATACATAGTAACAATACACGCAGTACTCGCCAAACCGGTCCTTTCCTAGTCCCCAACGACCAATTCTCCCGCTTCTTCTCCCGCTGCCCCTGCCCTCTTGGTTCTCACGACCCTGTTCCCGAACGCTGATCATCAATGCATTGCATGCGTATCAAACAACGCGCGCTCGCGCAATCGTTCAGATCGGTGAGTGACCTCGTACAATCCACTTTTTAGCATTGTAGCAAAGCATGACTCGCCAAGCAAGTTGACGAGTCGGATGCATTAGTCAGGGAGCGTAGACGTTGGAAACTTGCTTGGCCAAGACACATGGGACAGCAACTGGGTGATGGGTGGGTTCGTTCACTGGGATTGGGAACAAAACGCACTGTGGGTAAGTCGCTTGGGGGAACATTACGATGAAACCAGGGGTCAGGGGGCGGTTTGCTGGGGTTCTGGTGGTCGGCGACTATTCCGCCCGGGTTAGTGTTAGTCTGCTGTCGTCGTCGTAGTGGTGGCTGATGGAAAGTGCCGTAAAGTGTGCGTAGTAGTCTTGTTTAGAGCACGCACACGCGGCAGAGAAAGTGTGACATCTGGAAAGAAGGTTTGATGTATCTGCGGTATGCAAAAGCTGCATGTTCACGTTACATATTGCCCGCCGCGTTGTGACATGATGCAGTAGCGTACGTTTTTTCCACGCTTATCCCCCTTCCTTCGCTCCCATGTCAGATCCCATTGATCTCTAGCGTCTTCTCCACAATCATGAAAAGCGTTCCATTCGAGCCAGGCTGGCAGGGCGGCTTACTGCAGGGGGCCGTGCGTTGCAAGGTTGGCTTTTTATTTTTTTCACATGCCGAAAAGCTCAGGGGACGAGGACGCTCGAGCGGTTTTTACCTCGGGATCTTTCCAGGCTGGCGGGTGGGAGGGCGTGTGCCTCGATATTGACCCTTGGAGCCGCGAAACCCGGATTGAAAAGACCGTTGGATTTATTGTCTATACTATTGACAAACCAGGTTGGAAGGGACCCGGTTGCATCTGTGTACTAAAGTTGCACGCATGGTGCGGTCCGGTTTCCCAAACTGTTACAAGATCAACGTCGTCAACGTCGCATCGCATTGACTTGCTCGACGATCAGGAACAACGGCTAACTGCTTTTTACAAACGGTACGAGAAGCGGGTAGAAGGATGGAAGGTCGAGACGGACGGTAGGCCATCCCCACGTGCGACATGGCGATTGGTGCTTTTGCTAAACCGGCCCGTTTGAACGTTCTGGCTTCATCGAATTAGTAAAGCCTGGTGGCTGGGATGCTTTTGAGTGGTGATCTCAAGAAAGATGCATATGACGCGTGTATGTTAATGTACGATCACTTTCTGCTTTGGTATAATCTAAGGTGTCGGACGGCACCGGTGGGACTGAAGCAGGGTGAATAGATTGAGTGGGGATAGCTGGCGCGCTTATGATGTAACTTCAAGATGCCAATGTTGAAACTCAAGACTGTTCTTGGAACAACTGGGCCTTCGAACGTTTGATAGAGCGGCTGGGTACGTTGGCTTTGTTGTTGAGGTTATCATTCGTAGGCTGGCACACGACAAGTGGGTACCGTGCCCCGTATCCGTCATGAATGAGGAAGGTCATTAATATACGTTGCGATAATGAGGGTACAGTGTCTTTGTTCAGAGTATTATTACAGTGATGGTGTTTACGCTAGATAACATCGCTAGCGGCGCGTAATCGTCATTGCGGTCGTGCTTGCAGGTATCGCAAGATCAGCGTATTGTACAGGCGCGCTTGTTGCAGCGCTTTTTTGGGGACTCCCGTCTCACGGTGGTGGTACAGCTGAACTGTCTTCTCAATCGACCTTCTTTTCCAAGCGGGCGCACCTTCATCCATCAAAGAGTGGTTTGGACAGCAATGTGAATGACGCCGAAGCGTGTCATGCCGTCATCTCGCCGTGACCAAGGTCAGACAATGTGATGGTCATGCGCTTGCCACTCTCCACACTTCTCCGCTCACTGTGGTTCCTGCGAAGTGCATTGCACAAGCGGTGTAATCTTGATCGGGGTTGACGTCATGCCTCAACGCGCGCGTTTGTACATTGACTGGTCGCCCATGGAAGCGTTGTCGTCCCACCGGCGCTTGAGCCCATCCGGTAAAGAGCTGGCAACTGCTTCCTGCCACATCGAAGGGGTAACGTATACGGGTGCAGTGTTTCCATATGTCGAGGCTGGTGGCATCTGGCCTGGGACTGCATGGACATTGCTGGACTGGGGCGATGTGTTCGATATTTGGTAGCCTGGTTGCATAGCCTCCTGCGCTGGCCGCATATCGTAATTGGTTCCTGGAGGATGGGGTCTTAGCGGCGGAGAAGCCTGAGAGGACGCGCTAGTAGGAGGGGGCGTACCAAAGGCTACATTCCATTGACTGTATTGTATTAGTTTGTTGTTTGAATGAGAACGTGATGATTGAACTTACTCAAAGATGCGTTGTGGGTTCCATTGGGCGTTCTCCGGCATTTGCATACCAGAAGGTGGCTGAGCTGCACGGTGACCAGACGCCATCATGACCAAAGACTGAGCTACTGGAGAGTCAGCCTTGGATCCGCGGTCGGATGCCGAAATTGGTGGAGTAATGGGGAGTGCATGGTAGTTGACCTGACCTGGTTGTTCCAAGGGCGAGGGATGGCTCGGGTGACGAGGTCGGTACGATCCCTGGTGACCCATAGGGCTTGTTTGTGGAGCTACTTGTGGGCTTCCGAATGGGAATGTCGGTTTCAGTTCAAAAGCTTTTGAACAATCGGCCGAGAACGCTTGACGCAGGCTGTTGACTTGCTGTTGCATCTCAGGCATCGGGAACGAGGGAGACATGGTTTCCAGGACACGCATGTGGCGTACGAAGAAGTTCCTGGCATCATGGTTGATATCTGGGTCCGGGCATGTCACCGCAACCTACGGCTGTTAGTCAGATGCTTTACTGTACAATGGATATGACATACCAGGTGCAGCATGGTGCAGGTCAACACGGCGTAGATGTGGAAACTTATGCCTCGCATCATGCAAAGTAATCCAGGCATGCCGTAGGTCTTAAGAATCGCCTCTTGAAGTTTGCATAGGTTTTTGGCGGCCGAGTAACATGTGAGCATATGCTGCTTCCATATACCATCATATGACTCTGATACGGCATGTAGCTGCGGGCGGAAGTGCATAATGATGGCCAAACAGTGATAGGCGTGCATATTCGCCAGCTGATGGGACGGGATCCAAGGAGCAGAGCCATCCTGGGGGTAGACAATCTGCATGTCCTCCGGAAGCTCTCGTAACCAGAGGGAAAAGTCGGTGTTGTGGCCAACAAAAGCTGGATCCAGTGCCCAGTCCGGGTTCTTCTTCCTGAGTCTTCCGTACACGAGGGCCGAATGGTGAACGTTCTTAACAATACGGGCGTACTGTACGAACTGACGCGCAATCTGAAGCTCGGAAGGATCCTGTCCTGCGATGTGTCTGGGCATCTCCAAGTCTACGGTATCAGTGGTAACACCAAAGTCATAGCGTCCTATAGAAGTCAGCATCTCCAAGTACCTTCTACAAAACCAACATACCTTGAGGACCGCCAATCATGACCTCGAAGACCATGCACATCTGCCATACCCTCGTTTTGGCAACACAGTCGTGTACTGTCGATCCGCATGATTTGCCCATCTGATGGGTGTCGTAATGTTCGTGTAATTCGAGGTCCTTCGCCATGGCTACAAGGCTGACAGTCGCCATCCAAGAACGCCAGAAGTATCCTCGCTTTGGTGAAGCTTCACGAGCTTTCAGCAATAGAATCATTGCCTGCATTGTACTCAAGCGGGACACGTCTTTGAAGCTCTCTTCGTGCTCTGTAACATGTCAGTAATCGTTGTTTTGTCATTACAGGGCGCTACTGACTTGTGGCAAGGGCCAGCCATTTGTTGCCCTCCTCTGAGTCACCCAGCATCAACGAAGAACAAGCAAAGATGGACTCTAGCATGAGTGGAGAGATGGAGTCCGGAGCGCTGTGCCATTGCTGGTAGAAGTAGGCCTTGTTGATGACGGGGCAATATGGGTGAACGTTGGCGAAAAAGTAGTCAAAGTAATGCATTGCCCGATCATCATCAGGCATCATCTCCGGTGGTATGCGGACCGTATGATCGAGGCTTACAGAAGCTGGTAGTACGACCTCGTACTCCTCTTGCGCGGGTGTTTCGG